CTCACTACAAGCAGCTGGATGAAAAGAAAGAGAATGGTCAGTATAGATGTAAACCGTATGTGACTTCTGATGATAAAGGGAAGTAGAAGGCTTTTGATGGGAAGAAGCCAAGTGGGGGAGCGACTACTACTCCAGGTAAGTGTTATAAGTGTGGCGAGCCAGGCCACCGTGCTGAGAATTGCAGAGCACTGAGATGTCATCGTTGTAGCAAGAGGGGTCATAGAGCTACTGATTGTAAAGACGAAGCTCCGACTTGCTTCAACTATGGAGAGAAGGGTCATATCAGTACCCAGTGTCAGCAGCCGAAGAAGACTGCTATTGCTGCTTAGACAAGCGGCAAAGTGTTTGCTTTGAGCGGTGCAGAAGAATCCAAGACAGATAACTTGATTAGAGGTACTTGTTTTATTAATGATGTTGAATTGATTGCTATAGTTGATACTAGTGCTACTCATTCATATTTCGCTTGAATATGCTAAGAAGTTGAATTTGAATTTGTCTTCTATGATTGTGAGTATGGTTATTGATACCCCGACTAATGGTTCTGTGACTACTGCGTTAGTCTGTTTAAGATGTCCTTTGACTATTTATGATAAGAATTTTGTGATGGACTTGGTTTGTCTACCCTTGCATCAGATTGATGTTATTCTTGGAATAAACTGGTTGGAGTACAACTATGTTCATATCGATTGCTACAGCAAGACTGTGAGGTTTCCTGAGTTTGGTGATGGTGGAGGGCTGATGTTTGTATCTGCCAAGCAAGTAGAAGAACTCTTAGAAGATGAGGCTCAGATGTTTGCATTGTTTGCATCGCTTCAAGTTGATGATGAAGCAGTAGGCGTGGAACTACCAGTTGTTCGGGAATTTCCTGAGATGTTTCCAGATGACATGAGTAAATTACCTCCTGAGCGTGAGGTAGAGTTTACTATTGATGTGATACCGGGCACTAGTCTTGTGTCGATGGCTCCTTATCGGATGTCTACTTCTGAGTTAGGAAAATTGAAGAAACAGTTGGAAGAGCTACTTGAGAAGTTTATTCGACCGAGTGTTTTTCCGTGGGGTGCTCCTATGTTGTTGGTGAAGAAGAAAGATGGTAGCATGAGGTTGTGTGTGGGTTATCGGCAGTTGAACAAGGTGACGATTAAGAATGAGGTTGGGTTCTTTGAGTTAAACTATATACTGTTGAGTTATTTTGCTTATGTTCCCTGATGAAGAAAACCTTTACTTATGCCTTTTGAATTCCTCTGTTTTATGCAGTTTGATGTATTTTGGGAAAACCCGTTGTTTACGGAGTTGTGACCTATTTTGATGACATTGGGAAATGTACGCCCTTTTGGTGGCTTTTTGTGAAATTTAATAATTACTCTGATATCTATGTTATTTTGCCTTATTATTTGTGGGGTAGAAAAGGATGTTACATCTTGTGCCTACATATTCTCATCTGGTATGAGAAATCAGAGCAGACGTAGTTCGGGTAACTACGGGAAAAAGGTTGGTTAAGTATTTTTATAAGTGACGTTAAATCTCCATTCCAGCAGTTAGGGATGATGTCTGTTTGCGATAGAACGGAAAAATAACGTACTCTTTTCTGAAAATTAAGTTTGAAATAATCCTGAAGGATGAAAATGTTTGAGTTTTGTTTGTGAGTTTTAGTGAAGTGGATTGAGTTAGTTGGAGACTCACGTCGCACTAAAGACTATGACACGGGGGCAAATGCGTCGTATATTGCCCAAATAACATACGTTAAACACTCTAGACAAGCGAGGAGAAACCCCACACTCATCATTCTCCATGTACTTAAGGCTCGTAGCGCACGACGCTCGTCATTCTTCATTAAGTGTCTTGAAGAAAGTTTGAGGTGAGAAAAGAGAGACGCACACAAAGACCTAGGGGAAAATGAACCCTAATTGTTGTCATACAATGTGACCCTAAAGTCAAGATTATGAGGGAAACTAACCTAATATTATCATGCGTGGATTGAAAGCCTAATGTCTCTCCTACCTCAGACTTAATCGAAAATTAAGTCGAGCTAGGAATCTTAAGGGATCACGCGAATATAGGAAGTAAACAGCAAGTAAACATGAAGCGACGCAATCACAGACAACGTCAAGTTGAAATTAAAATATGTACAAATGTCAGAAAAATATTCACAAATGCGCTCGATGACTCATAGAAATTAAAAGGTTAAAAATAAGTTTAATCCTATGTTAACTATATCTAAATAAATTCTAAGTTAAAATCTAAAGAAAACTAAAACCTAATTCTAATTCTAAAATATATCTAAGTTAATAAACTGAAGAAATTCTAAAATCCTAAAAATATATTTCTAAAATCCTAATAAGTTAAAATAATTACTAAAATAAAAACTTATTTTTAAACTAAATTCTAAATTCTAAATATTCTAATTAAAAAAACTAAATGTCAAAGGGAAATCTAATTAAAATAAACCTAAATTAATCTAAATCGAAATTCTAAGTTAATAGTTTCTAACTAAATTCTAAATTAAAATGGGCCAAATTCAAACTAATCTAAATTAAAAAGAATCTAATCAAATCCTAAACTAAAATATATCAAGCCTAAATTAATCTAAATTAAAATTAAATAATCCTAAAAATATAACCTAATTTTTGAAATGATATTCTAATTAAAATTAAACCTAATCTAAATCCTAAATTAATTAATTAAGACTAATCCTAATAATATAACCTAATACTAATTAACTAATTTAAACTAAATAAATGCTAAAAAAAACTAATTTAAAAAACCAATAAAATCTGAATTAATTAATACTAAATAAAATCTGAACTAATTGTTAATAAAGCTAATAATAATAAATTACTAACCTAATTAAAAGTAATAAAATTAACTTAAATAAAACTAATTAATACCAAAAAATCGAATTAAATCCCCTCTCCACGATTTCCTCTCTCCACGCGTTTTTTCCTCTCTTCCACGCGTTTTTTTCTCTCTTCCACGCATCCTCTTTCTCCTTCCCAACGCGTTTTCTCTTCTTTTCCCCATGCGTGTCTTTTTCTTCTTTTCCCAACTTTCTCTTTTTCCCAAGAGCTTCCTTCTCCCAAAACTTTCTCTCTTATCCCTCTAATATGAATCCAAACACAACTCTCAACCTCTCAAAATTAACTCATGAAAACAAACTCTTTCTCTCTAAAACCTTTCACGAAATCACTTCTCACAGATTTCCTTCTCATCGCGCCGCTCAGTTTTCACCTCGGATGCGCTTCTTTCTACTTCTCAAACCTCAACTCACTCGCTTTCAATCTCTCCCTCCTCTTCTCCGGCCACCATCCTTCTTCTTCCTTCACAGCCAGTGCTTCCGTTTTCGCACCAGCGACGGTTGTAAGCGAAAGCTAAAGCTCGAAAGTAGTGAGCCACTGCGTATGGGAAAAGACAAAGTTCAAACACCCAGGACAAACATCACAGGAACAAAAGCTGCAGAAACGATAAATATAAGTTCAGAGCGATATTACCGAAGTTGCGCGATGATGACGACGGAGGAGACACTTCAGGTATGAAGCTCGCTCAGTTTTTCTTCACTCTTCAGAATTTTTCTCTTTCCTGCCATAGTTTTAGGGGTTAATTTCTAAAATGCCATAGTTTTCAATTAATATACCAAATTGCCATGTTTCCAAAAAAAATCTCATTTTTGGTTGAACACTTCCGCCCTTTCAATGGGCGACAGAGTGTAATCCATGGTTTTCTTTTTCGTTTTATTTTTTATATTTTCTTAAATATTATTACTAATTTATATATTAATATTAATAATATTAGTAAATTAATAATAATAATTATTAAATTAGTAATAATAATTAATTTATTAATAATTATTACTAAATTAGTAGTAATAATAATTTAATTAGAAATAATAGTTATAAAAAAGATAATAATAATAAAAAATAAAATATTACGTAAAAATAAAATAAAATAAATTATTTTAAAATAGTACTAATTAAAATAAAATAGTACACTGAAATATATGATAATATTTATAAAATAAAATACAATAAAAGAACTAAAATAAATAGTTATTAATTTTTGAAATTAAATATGTACATTAAAATTCCTATTCATCCTTAATTAATTTCGACCCAGTCGACGTAAGTGGTGGTTCCACAGGCAGGAGGTTGTACATTTCTGGTGGACCATGAATGTCTTGTTTAATTCCGAATTGGAGTTTCACCCTATCTGAATGATTCATTTTAACATAAGTGAAAGACAATATAAATGTTGTAGAACTCCACATATCGCTTTCAGTTGGATCCTCATCTTCAAGTTCAAGATAGGGTCTCCATACAAACTATAATATAATTAAAAAGGGATTAGAGAAAAAAAATGGAAAGTGCTAGTAGAAAAATATGGGATTAGAGACAATATATCATCTTCCTCAAAATGATCGAAGAACGTCTGATACCTAGAAGCACAATGCGGAGTTTTTTCGTAATTCATCTCATATGCGGACCACATTAGTTAATGATATCAATTAATATAAACAATGTATTAAAAAGTATAAATTAATATTATACGTTAATTGATTATAATAATATATATTAATATTATTAATATATATATATATATATATATATTAATAATATTAATATATAATAATAATATTAATATTAATAATATTAATATATATTAATATTATTAATATATATTTATATATATTAATATTAATATTATTAATATTAATATTAATATTATTAATATAAATTAGTAATAATATTTAAAAAGAATTAAAAAATAAAACGAAAAAAAAAAACTATGTACATAACCGCCCATTCAAAGTGCGGTTGACTTTTTCATTACACTCTGCCGCCCATTGAAAGGGCGGAAGCATTCAACCAAAAATGAGATTTTTTTGGAAACATGGCAATTTGGTATATTAATTGGAAACTGTGGCATTTTAGAAATTAACCCCTAAAACTATGGCAGGAAAGAGAAAAATTCTCACTCTTCACCCAACGGAGTCACGATGAACATAATAGATGAGCCTATTGCACCAAAACAACAGTTTCAAAAACCAGATCTGCTATAATCTCGTAACTCAGGTATGATGTTCTGAATCTTTATCTCATTCTGTCTGCTATCGAATCTCTTTCCCGTTCTTCTCTACTTACAAGGATTTGTTGCAACTTTCACACAGGTTTTGAAACTCGCAGAAAAAAAATGTTGTTGGAAGGTGTTCTGGTTTGAAGGCGAGCTCCGTTTTTTTGGTTGTTGCTGCTGTGAATTCGCGGGTTTTGTGTATTTGAGAGCTGATGAACAATTGGGGTCTATGGAAAACAAGCTACGAGTGAAGGTGGTCCCTGAGTTTTTTTGCGAGTTACTCGGGCTCTTCTATGCTAGAAACAAGAAAATTTCTGATGCGCTCTTAACTTCAACTCCAGCATCTTCATAACCTACGCCAGTAAATGCGACACGGCGTCACTTGGAGGTTTAAATGTATGGGGTGTTTTTCATGAGTTTGGTTTTGCTTGGAAGATGAGCTATGGCCATGAAAACTGAAAGTTTCCTGTGAGGTATGCTTCAACTTTTTCATTTTTTTCGATGCCCTCCTCTCTGTCTCACCTCTCTCCTTTTAAAACCAAATTACAAGCTTGTTGATTAAGTTTTTAGTATATGTCCTTTTGTTTTGTTGCAGGTTAGTGGCTGGCTTGATTTCATGGTTTTTGTCTGCAGAATTTGGTGTGGTAGCAGACTTGGTTGTAAGGTTTGGAGGGATTTGGTTTTATTTTGGGACCACTTCTGAGGATTTGCAGCAGGCGATTTTGAAGGTAAGGCTGTTGTTGTTTTCAAATTACGGTCTTGGAGAGTACAGCTTGCAGGCTTGTTGGGTTTGTCGTGTGGGGCTCTTAGGGGTGGGATAGCAGCAGTAGCAGGGTGATGGTTGTTTGTGGATGTCGTACGGTTGGGGTGTAGTGGTTTTGTTGTGTTGTGGCCTGTCGTACGGTTGTCATAAGGGCCCCCCATAATGCTCTGAAAATTAGCTATTTTTTTATCAATGCTATATATCTCTCCCTTTTCTTGTTGTTTCATTTTTATGCTATGAAAAACTTTAATGTCGCCCCTTTCTTAAACTGATGAGGTGCTGCAGAATATTGTCCTCTGGTCTGGCGTGTATTATGCATTTTGGTTATGAGTTTTTTTTTTGAACTTTTTTCTTGCTGTAAATTATGATGGCAACTTGTGGCTTGTATATGAACAAATGGGGCTTAATCTAGATTCTTGGTTATTCACTTAGAAATTTTTCAATTGGACATGGTTTAAGTTTGGATATTGACTTGGATTTATTTTTTCTGGTTTGATCATTGAAGGATAATTGAATGTAACTTAAAAATGGTTTGAAGATAAATGTGAAATTAGAAAAAAGTTTATGGATTTAAAGGTGGTTAGTTGGATTAACAAGGATTAAAAAGAAAAGTTCTGTTTGAAATGGATTGGAAAAGGTTTTGGAAATTTTGAATAAAGAAAGAAAAAGAACAATGATAACTTAGGATCTTGAAATGGATATTTTGAAATATAGAAAAAAGTGGATATGAATTTATAAATAAAAGAAAGGCAAGTGGATATGAATTTATAAATAAAAGAAACGTGTATGGTTAATTGAAATGGAATGGGAAAGAAAAATGATTCTAAAGTGAATGAAAACACCTTAGCCTTCTGAAAACTTTTGATCCCAAATAAAACTCAGATCCAAGACTTGCGTTTTTTATGAAACTCTAATAACAAAACATTGTCAATGGATTTACAAAGCCCACCTCACCATGTCTTGCTCCGATAATTCATACCACATTGTTGCCTTAATAACTTGAGCTCAAAATAAACCACATGATCCTGTCTCACAACTTGAATACTTAAACATTGATGAATTCAAATTCAAATTCAAATTCACTTCTTCAAGAACGTTGTCTTTAATGCAATCTTCTAGTACATACCCAACTTTCATGACAATCGACTAATATTATCAATGGCCTTGGCCACAACATCATTCCATAACAAACTCCTTATATCCTGTCTTGAGTTTAATGATTAACATAAAATATCAACACATTCGATCATTGAACATGAATGATTGAAGTTGGAAACATAGAAGAACACATGATGAATCTTGGCATAGGAAATCTTTGTAGCTGGATGAACTCAAACCTTGTTTCAACTTGACTGAAGTAGGAGTCAACTAAACCACCTCTTAATGGGGAAAATGTCAAGAAAATCCAATGATCACATGTCTTAGAAGACCAATGCAAAGTATGATTATGAACTGAAGGTGATGCAAATGAGCGCGAAGCAAAAAATCCAGTCAAAGTTAAAAAGCGAGGGAAAATTTTTGGGTGAAACATTGAGCTTAACCATCATCATCTTGCAATTCTACTTGGTTTTCTGAAGTTTTATTGGCTTTTGATTCATATCAAGTGATTACTCCAAGCTTCTTTGGTGCAAATTCGTATTTGGAGATTTCGTCGCATTTTGCTCGGTTTCGCTACGGTTCGGTTGCAAATTCTGATTTCTCTGGTTTTCTTTGATTATCTTCATCACAATTCATTTGCAACAATATCCAAGGTAAATATCAGCCTTGTAGGTTTGTTATCCTTTGCTCATTTTACTATTTCGATCGTTTTCATATCGTTTGTGATGTGGTTTCAATAAGTTCTTGTGTGTGAATTGATCATCTCATTGCTTGACCCTTGATCTTGATGAGTTAATTGATTCCGTTGATGATTATTTGTTTTTGGACTTTATTTCTGTGCATAAATGTTTGCCCTAACATGTGAGTGATTGCACGAATCATAAGTGGCCAAAAGTGCTTTTGAAAAATAAATTTTCAGCCACTGCTTCAGTGTTAATCGATTAACACTGTTTATTTTATCAAGAATATGCCTTTTTTTATAGGGTTAATCGATTAACACTTTTGCACTGGCAAAGTGTTAATCGAATAACACTGCTCCATAATGTTATTTTTATGCATTTTCAAGTATGTTTGACATTCCTTTCTCATTCAACTCCCATGGATTATTATGATTGATTTTTATGGATGTTTTATAAGTCATTTAACTTCTGTATGAAGCATTCTTGTAAACTTTCCGATGTTCGATTTTATCGATTGCGAATTTGTTCACATTTTTGGCATTGTATGATCATGTTCATTCTTGCATTCTTTGATCACATGCTACATGATTTGTGATGCATATTAAATGATTTTGCACCTCCATTCTTATGATCATGTTAATTTTTGTACCTCCATTCATGTATGCATTAAGATTGTTCCTCCTTGGAATAAGCTTAATCTTGTATAATCAATGATTCACCCTCTTGCTTTAATGATTTTTCATCCCTTTGGAAAATTGTTAGCATATCACTCCTTTTTGATCAATCAATCAAAACTTCATTTTGATTAGTCGATCTTCCCTGTTTCTTCTCCTTTAGATCTTCTAGAGCTTTTTCCTCTCTTTCCCTCATGGAGTTGAAGATTTGCGACACGTTAAAGCAATATACAAATTTTGTGTCATTGCGTTATTGGTTTCGTTTCTCGCACTACACTTTGGTGTTAGAAAAGGAATGAGAATGGAGAATTCCTACACTCATTTTGATTATTTTGGGTAGGGGCGAATGACCCTGTGCCTGGAATAGTCATCTCTATCTCCTTACTGTGGTATCTCCCGTTTCCCAGCCGAGTCGATCCCTGATCACTTGTATCCTAATCTCCTCTTTGGGTTTAACTCCCTCCTTTTGATTCAACTTCCCTTTCTATTGCGGCCAATCACCATCCTTGGTTTCCCCAGATATTTGTAATAAATCCTTTCTTTGGCTAATCAAATGTTCCTTGTTTAAAGCCAAATTCCCTCCTTCCCAGCGAAATCAATCCTTTTTCTTCGGTTAAACATAGTCTTCCTATTAAAAACCTAGTCCCCGTCGAAGTTCACAACCTTCTCTTGGTTCTCTCCTTCTTGTTTGGTTAATCACTGCCTGTCAGTTAAAACACCAATTTGTTCTCTTCTCAGTTAATCACAGTCCTTCTGTTAAAATACTGAGTTCTTCTTGGGTTAATCACCTTCTTCTGGTTAATCACCCACCTTTTGGTCAATCATAATCCGCCTGTTAGAACCAATCATCATTTTTCTCAGTTAATCGCAGTCCGTCTGTTAACATACTGAATTTCTTTTGAGTTAATCACCTTCTCTTAGTTAATCACTCATTATTTTTGGTTGATCACAATTCCTCTGTTAAACACCTGAATTCCTTGCAGTTAACAACCTTTCTTTAGTTCAAATGCTCGCACCACTGGGTTAGTAACCTTTTTTTTTGGTTCAAATACCCTTTTCTTCGGTCAAGTGCTGCTTGTTCAGTCAATGTACCGTCCTTTGGGTCACAACCTTCGCTTGGTTCCACACCCGTCCTTTCGATTAACCATTGTTTATCAGTTTACACACCGAGTCTCCCAGAGAGTCAGACACCTTCTCTTGGTTCAATACTCTCTTTCTTCTAGTTCATCACAGTCTGGCCGTTGACACCATCCTTTTTACTCTCCCCACAGAGTTTTGCTCTTATCTTTCTTCGGCTAATCACTGCCTACCAGTTAATGCACGAATCCCATGTGGATCTTACCTTTACTTTGATTCATGTCCCTTTATTCTTCTGGTTTCGGCACCATTCCTTTGTTTTATTCCTAGTGGAATTATCTTCTCTTTTGAGTTCCTTAGCAGAGTTTTTCTTTGTCTTTCTTTCTTGGTTTTGACACCACTTCTCTTGCATCCTATTGCACCCCAAATTTTGGCCCTATAGATCTTTATTATCATTCTAGTATCATCTTCATTTGTTTATCTAACCATAACCTAATTCAAGTCTGTCTTTGTCAAGATATAGGTGAATCGGGGTTCTGTACAGTCAAAGAATCGAGGTTTCGATGGTCTGATCAGTCAATGTCTTGGATTGATTCTCCATGGAAACAAGTATCTAAATCATCAAAGATACTACATTGGATCAAGTATGAATTCAATTTGAGGTTGTCACCCAAAGATCAAGAACAGTGCAGTTAAGGATCCTCGATTAGGGTTTCTGATCAGGAAAAGTCAATTGTGGTTTGACTTTTGATTTAAAAGGTGTTCCAATGATGGAATCATGGTCCATGAAGCTCATATGACTTAGTGAAGTCCACTAAAGAAGTTTCAAGACCTCAAATGATCCAAAACACCAACAGTCGATCCGATGGTTATCGATCGATCGGTTCGTTTGACTGTAAAGTCAACTCTTTGACCATAAGGAATTTGACCCAAAATTTTGAAGAAAAAAGTAAACATGAAAGTTGTAGAGATCCATGAGAGCTTTCCAAAAAGTACAAGAACTCCCCCGTAGCCCTTGTGAGCTGAGAGTTTCAAATTGAGCAAGTTGGGCCTCAGCACT